ATATAAATATACAAATACAATAATGACGGAGCTGACAGAGACACGTCTGTACTCTGCAGCAGATAACAGAAAAAGAGAGCGAGTATAGGTACACGTCACGGCAGGTGCGTGTCGTGTACCACGTGGTTGGAGGTAGCAGGGCAATTCGTGCCCAGTACCTCCAAGACCACCACAAAACAATCAAATGCCTAAATCATGTCGAAGTTCGTTTAATTTGCATTGAATCATAGTATATTTAAGGGGATGAAGGACACATGGTCACATGACTCTAACTACGTCATAGTCTCCGTTTATATAAGTGCAAAACGATTAAAGCATCAGTTCTTGTGTAATTTTTTGACAATTTTCTTTCTTTAATTACCATCTAATATTAAAAAAAAAGAAAAGTTTCACATTCTTGCAAACATTAACAAATTATGAAAAAGATTGATCCACTCCTCTGTTTTCCTAAACTGTGTGTCCAATTCGTCGGTGACGTCATACACGATCTGTCAGTACAGCAAGATCATACTCGGTGAATACAGGGGCAGTATTATTATGTAAAAACAGGTCATAATCAGTATATGTAAAATATTTTGAGAAACGGGGAACACAAAAATTATTTTTGCATGGCTGATGACGGAAATCTTGTATAGGTATATCTTATTTCGCTTATTTAGCTTACGTGTGACGTCATAGATGGTTTTTCCCGTACTAGAGAATTGTAAAGATGACACGTTTTTGTTCTGCTTATGTCCTCTTAAACGATGCCCTGTGCAATATTGAGGTCAGCTTCACCATTCGAAATTTTTACAGTTAATCAATAATTAGAAGGACTTGTAATTTCAACATAAATTTAAAAATATTGAACGATAGAATTTTTTGTAAATTACGTTTTTTGTTGTTTAAGTTGTCTTAAAAAGTTCGTAATTTTCCCTATCCAGATGTAGTGTGATAGAAGAAACTTGCTTTTTCGAATTTTAAACCCTATTCAAACTCTAAAATATTTTATAAGATACATGTTCACTTACATATTTTTATACATGCTTTAAAAATCCCATTATGGACAGAGTAAAGAGCCCGGAAACATGAAGAATTAAAACTCCACTAAGATACTGTAGGGCAAATAGTATTTGTCAATCAATATCTCTAAAATAAGGTAAGAAACCTAATGATATAACTGCTTTAAGATATGTGGGACATACTTAATTAGAAATATACAAAATATGAAAAACAAGATGTGTTTGTGAAACACTGATGCCCCCGTATGGCAGCTTATGGCGAAGGTTAAAGTTTCTTCAAATGCAAGTCAAAATCCAGGCAAAAAGATAAAAAATGTTGATACCCAAAGAAAGGTCTTGTCTCGAGGAATACAACTGTGAAATTTGAAAGACCTAGATACAACTGTTCAAAAGTTATGACGAAGGTTAAAGTTTTTTAAATAAAAGTCAAACGTCAAGGTCAAAGTGGTTGGTATCCAAAGGAAGATCTTGTCACAAAGATTACATATGTGAAGTCTGAAGGCCCTAGCACCAACCATTCAAAAGTTATGGCCAAGGTTAAAGTTTTTCAAAAGTAGCTCAAACTCCTAGGTCAAGGTCAAAGGGTCAAAGTGGTTGGTATCCAAAGGAAGGTCTTGTCACAAGGATTACATATGTGTAGTATGAAAGCCCTAGCATCAACCATTCAAAAGTTATGGCCAAGGTTAAAGTTTTTCAAAAGTAGGTCAAACTCCTAGGTCAAGGTCAAAAGGTCAAAGTGGTGGCTGGTATCCAAAGGAAGGTCTTGTCGCAAGGATTACATATGTGAAGTATGAAAGCCCTAGCTCCAACCATTCAAAAGTTATGGCCAAGGTTAAAGTTTTTCAAAAGTAGGTAAAACTCCTAGGTCAAGGTCAAAGGGTCAAAGTGGTTGATATCCAGAGGAAGGTCTTGTCACAAGGAATACACATGTGAAGTTTGAAACCCTAAGCACCAACTGTTCAAAAGTTATGGCCAAGGTTAAAGTTTTTCAAAAGTAGGTCAAACTCCAAGGTCAAGGTCAAAAGGTCAAAGTTGTTGGTATCCAAAGGAAGGCCTTGTCACAAAGAATACACATGTGACGTTTGAAACCCCAAACACCAACTGTTCAGAAGTTATGGCCAAGGTTAAAGTCTCATAAAATTTTGCAAAAGTGGATCAAACTCCAAGGTCAAGGTCAAAAGGTCAAATATGATGGTACCCAAAGAAAGGTCTTGTCACAAGGAATACACATGTGAAATATGAAAGTCATAGCTCCAACCAATCAAAAGTTATGGGCAAGGTTAAAGTTGACAACAGACAGACAGACAAACAGATAAACAGACAGACAGGACAAAAACAATATACCCCCGGGATCTTTCGATCCGGGGGCATAAAAACTGAATGACAAGTATTTTTCAGCTAAGGGTCCTTCTTCCCCTTAATTTCATACATGTAACCATATTTTCCAAGAATCCATTACAGTTTTATTGAAAAGTAATGACCATTTATATTTTCATATTTTCTTTTCTTTAAAGTTTAATAAGCTTTGGGGGGGGGGGGGGGTCAAATTTGGTCATTATTCACAGGTCTAACTGAATGTTTTAAGTTTGTTAATGTATATAGTATATACATGTACTATCGTGAAATTTACAATGTAAAAATGAATATAAATACTTAATAATAATTTAAATTTTAACAGATCTAAGTAATATTCTACAGCACACAGATTTATGAGCATCCCCCTTATCTCTTCATTACAACATACATGTATGGGAAAACCAGTATGGAAAGAAAAAAATCAAATTTGCTTGTACCCCATCCAGAAAATCTGAGACCCTGGGAGCAGGAACCTCGATGAAAGATGTTTATTCATTTAGTATAATACAGTAAGCATAAAAACTTGAGGGGTGTATTTTTATTTTTTTTTTTTTACAGAAGTGGTAACTGACTGCTGGTACCCCACCTTTAAAATTTCAGCAACATCAGCAAACAGTGCTCTGGTAGAAGTTACTGATAACAATTGATGAAAAAGTGTATGCATAATTCAGGACCTGGTTTGGGAGTGGGGTAATCCCCTTTTGCTTTGCTTGCACTTGCTTTAGCTACATGATTAATAAATTAGATAATTAAATTGCATATAATTTACCTAGTTAACTTAAGAATTGCGCACCCTTTGGACTAGTGGGTTTCAGAATAGTGTACCTTCAGAATAGCGGACTTGAGACCTAATAGACATATATAGTATTAGCATTTCCGAATAGCCGGAATAAACTAAACTGTATCTTGTTCCAAGGTATGTATGTCATTTGTCCAAACAGACATGCATTAATTTATTAAAAAATATTAGATTTAATCCTCTCTATAATATATATATATATATATATATATATATATATATATATATATATATATATATATATATATATATATATATATATATATATATATAACGACCATATTTTGTACCTAATAAATGAATGGTCCGAAATGATTAAATAAATCATGGTAACATTTTGAAGGTGTTATGAAATAAACATACCCCAACAAAGGAATTTACAAAAGTTTAATTACTGTCCAATTAATTGCACCATAAATTTTACATTGACGTCTATGGGCAGCGCATGTTTTATTAAGATATTGTAAAAAGTAAAGTGAATTTCATACAAATCTCTTGGTGAAAATATACATAGACTCTCTTTTTATTAAAATATGAAATACAATGAATCATTTACTACAGATATTTTGACAAAATTAAAAATTTTTTATTTTCATGAAGGGCAGATAACTCTTCAAAAACTTTTCAGGTGCAAAATGATCAGCTTCTTATTTTCTTATCAGTCATGTGAATTTGGCTCATTTCACTTTCATCGTTATCTAGCAATGTATTTCTAACTAGTTTAAAACGATTCAAAATTGTTCAAAATCCCTTCTTTAAACATTGAATACCTGAAATGTTACAATATCTTCAAATTTAAAGATTTTTTTAGTTATGCAACAGATCCTAAAATTTCTTAATCCATTTCTTGGAACCAGTCTTGCAAATGTTTTCAGAAGAATGTTAGCAGAAGAAAACCTGTCCTGTGCCATTAGCACATAATTAACCTACATATATGTACTAAGCTACATGTAGCTTGCGTTAGAAGCGGTCGTAATCTCGGTGGAGATTCGGCTGGGCTAGATATTTGGTCTGACGCCCACCGAATCTCGGGACAGTCCTTCATAATTCATGTTTGGGAATTCAGCCCCAACTTCGGCCGGCTATAGCAAGAATTATTCACCTAGGCGACACTGCCGTTCGCTTCAATTAAGTCATTTAGTAGTTAAATTAACTCTCTGTCACTATTTTTTCTACTTTGCTTACCGTCTAGGCATGTAAATCCCAACATAAAAACATTCACTGAAATATCCGTTCAAAATATGGCTCCCCTGACGTAATTGTTTATCTCCTCGCACTAAAGAGTTCCTCTATGGTCTGTTTTCATTTCTATCAAAAATACTTAAAAGCCACAGTACAGGTTCAGTATCACATAAAAGAAAACAGACTGTAGGAACTCTTTAGTGCGAGGAGATAAACAATTACGTCAGGGGAGCCATATTTTGAACGGAGATTTTAGTGAATGTTTTTATGGTGGAATTTATATGCCTAGACGGTAAGCAATGTGAAAGTAATAGTGACAGAGAGTTAATTAAACAACTAAATGACTTAATTGAAGCGAACGACAGTGTCGCCTAGGTGAATAATTCTATATATAGACGGCCGAAGTTGGGGCTGAATTCCCAGACATTAATTATGAAGGACTGTCCCGAGATTCGGTGGGCGTCAGACCAAATATCTAGCCCAGCCGAATCTCCACCGAGATTAGAAGCGGTCGATGATTTTCACAGCTGCATAGTCCACTACATACATCTAATTCCCAGGTACATATTTATTTAGTTTTTAATTATTTACAATGTAGTTACCTTGTCAACACCTAGAAAAAATTATCAAATCATTATCTAACGCTTTCTTGTAAATCATACCATAATTAAGCATAATCCGTAGAACTTTTTGTGCCCGAATTTGTTCTGCTCGAGCATTCTGCATCTCTCCTTTTCTGACATACTGAACAAGTCTGTGGAAGAGCTGAGGCATAAAGTTGTATAGAGTACCGACTGCACCATGTGCCCCCATTACCATGTTTGCCATAAGTTGCTGATAGAGCATAAAAGACATAGATATATGTAAAGCTTGATGTTCTAATAGATTGTAATACTTTGTCAGGCAAAATGAATGGAACTTAAGGACTGAATTTAATAACTACCCAAATTATACAATATAACCTGATTTGGACAGTTTTACGCTTTATAACCGCAAAGCGGTTAATAGAAGATTGTAAACTGTTTCATCCCAGGTTAAACAAGTATAACTTGGGAAGATATTAATTTTACCCTATAATTTAATTTTCTATGATCAAATAAAAAAAAACTTCAAATTCTACAAATTTTACCTGTTACATTTATACCCTTTTTAATAACAACTTTTATAACCCCCTCCCTCTTAAAAAACTTCAGTTTATTACAACGTCACAAGCACACAATAACGACGTTTTTGTTAAAGGTAACTGAAACCTCTCAACACATTTTAGCCCTTATAAAGGTTCTATTTTAAGCATAGAAAAACGTGCTATCATTAAACCCTTGTGACCAAAACATAACATAAACGTGCAATGTTGAGGAGGCCCTAGATAGAAAAGTGTTTGATAAATAAATCTTCATCAAATTGTATATCAAAGCATGGTAATGGATTAAACAATTTATAGTACTTAGTTGCATCACGTAGCTGATCTATGGCTGAAAATTTAAATTAAATCAACTTCGAGTTATATTGCCGAGATATCTCGAACAGATGAAGAAAGAATATTTGTATAGTGGAGAAGGTGCAGTTGAATGACCTCAAATAGATAACTTTTCACATTAACAGTTTTATGGTTTAATTTTCTCTTTATATATACACCATTTTATTTGACGTCGATATCGACATGGAATTAATAACATTTATTTTGACATTTTTAAATCAAATACCATGGTTAATCGATTTACTTGAATTTTATTAGCACGTATCTGGCATTAAATCTATTCTTAAAGTAGGGGTCAGAAGTCTCCATTTTCATATGCATATACTTCAGCTAGCTTAAAACATTCTATCAAGCACGGACTACTTCCTTGTACATCTTTAAGGTGGCAGAGGACAGTCTTTCTCTTCAGTAAAAACGTTTGGCTGACATTTTCCTTAATATTATTAATAAGCTGATTGTAAAATGTGTATAGTACAATTTTAAATTCTCTCTACATGTAACAACAGCATGTTCTATTCCCTTGTACAACTTGCACATTGCTCCTAAATGATGACGCAGGGACAGTCTCTACATTTCATGAAAATTTGACCTATTTTCACTACTTTGAATTCACAAGAAGCAATAGCTTTCAGGCCGCTAATGCCTTGCGCTACAACACAAATTCCAGACCAACGTCTGTGCATATCTCTGAAAGGCAAGAAAAATTGGCTCAACAACAATTTATCAAAAGAAACCATTCTTTTTTCCGAGACCGTTCACGGTAGCTCAGTTGGTGGAGCGCTTGCTCCGTGATCGGGAGGTCGTGAGTTCGAATCTCGGCCGCGACTGACCTAAGTCGATAAAAAAGGGGTAGCAACTGTTCCTTCGCCATGCGCTTGGCACTTTGAGGTGAAAGTTGCGGGTCCTTCGGATGAGACCTTAAAAACCGAGGCCCCGTGTCACGGCAGGCGTTGACAACCTAAGGATCCCTCACTGCTCAATGGGCCTGAGTGCCGAGTAAAGGTCAAATTTGAAGCCCTCCACCGGTATATGGTGACGTCTCTATATGAGTGAAAAAATCTCGAATGGGGCGTTAAACAACATACAATCAATCAATCTTTTTTTCCGATGAATTCCTGGATGAATGATTTTTGAATTTAATTTCGTATTTCAAATCCATATTTTATCATTTTATAAACGGTAGTAGTGACACTCAAGTGTCATAAATCAATTTAATGTATAAAACCACTTCTTCCGTCTGTATACAAACATAAGTTTGTCTAGATATTATAAAATACCTGATATATACATTAAACCTTAGGTTTCCCCATTTCCTTTTCTTCAAATTTTTAAATATTACTTTATTTGAAACTATCCTGACCTCTGCCACCGAAGTTAGGTTTCTATTTCTTATTCTCTTTCAATTATTACTTTTTGCAAAATGGTCTTGATACTTACGCTAACCTTGTGCAATGTGCATATATTTTTAAACAAACATTTTAAATTAAATGATATTTCAGACTAAGTCTCTGTTCTTATTGACTATGAGAATGACCTGATCTTTAAAATTTCAATGTCTTTGAAATGTTCAGAAATTGAAAAAAAAATTTTAGTCTGGTGTATTCTGGTGAAGTAAATATATTTATTCATATCGCGGCTTATAAAGACTTTAGGGCATTTTTACAGAATTATTTAGAAATGAGTGTGATAATGCTACCATAATAATTTAGAACAAATGCACTTCATAGTGCATATCAATCAAAATATGTTTTCATGACTTGTCTATTAACATTCTGGCTGTGTTTACTTTTGCTAGAGTAGATGTCTTTCATAAATTTGGTTTTCTAGACAGAACTGTATTATATTTCTTATAAATTAATACCCCTGTCCTATTAACACTTAACTAAAACATGGTGGAGACCTGCGACCACTATACGTAGATGTTGCCGTTTAACTGATGTCCTGGTAGCCCTATAACTTGTTAATTGTATTCGTTGTTTCACTTTTCTGCGATTCGACACTGCTTTTCCACGAAAAAAAAGTTTTTCCGTGAAAAATCATACTGCAATTCCGAAATTATATGTTTTGCCTTTTCGCGACTTAACAATTAACAGACTAACTCTTTTTTTAGCCTGGTAAATACTTTCCACTGCAACTCCTTCTGCATCAATTTGTAATTACATAGCTTACGAGTACTTTGTAACAAAAATTAATTAGATTTTGCCTACCTCATCACAACCACATAGGATGTTAAAATTTCCAGCAAACAGACAACCAATCATATCTCCAAGATCCTTTGAAGCAAACTTCAGACCAACCAAATTTGGTATTTTTTTCTTTGCCTTTATCAAGAAATCTTCCATCTTCACTTAGATATCAAAAAGTTAAATTATGAGATCCTTACCCCATTCAGGCAAAATATAACCAAAGTAACTTGTATAATCAAAAACAGATAATGTATTAACATTGTCTCTGCAACTATTATAAATATTTCACTCAATTACTGTAATAAAATATTACCAGTACATGTATATAATATTTAGAAAATTGAATCGTATTCACGTTTTTCTCCAGTTTTTTCTTCATTTAATGTTCGACATTTTTGTGTGTTTGTTCGTTTTTCTTTTCTAAACGCGGAAAACCAGATTTCAATGCCCTTTGACAACTTTGTTTTAGTCTTGTGGCTGACAAATGAATTATTGACCCAAATTTAGTTGATTTTTGAACATTTTCTTGCTACTAAGCAACAGACAAATAATACACAATATTCAGTTAACGATTAATAAAGTGTACATTAAATGTATTTGTTATATGAAAAAAAAAAATTGAACTCACGCTCTACTCCCGTCATGTACGGTAAATGATAATAATAAAATGGAAGGTTTGGTGCAGCATCGGCCACTGTTTTACAATGTTCAACAAGATTCTCTGGCAATAATGCATAAAGTAATGAACATCTATAATCATAATTAGGTATAGAAATGTACAAATATTTCAAGTTAATGGGCTAGGTGAGCAAAAATCTGTCGTAATGTTTTGCAAAGAGAATAAATGTGAACATTCTCCCATTATTTATAATGTCATAAAACACACATTCTGAAAAATCCAAATTCTTGAACAAGACTAGATATCTTAAAGTTACTCCTATGCGACGTGTTTGTTTGTTTGTTTTGTTTGTTTCAAATTCGTTTAGGTGCTTTTCACAGAAGTGTTTTTCACTGTTTAAAAATTAAACATCTTGCGCTACTCACCAATACTGTTTGGTTTGAAAAACAATGGTGGAAGAGATGCAATTGCGTCTGCCCCAGCGTTGACGGCATGTTTGGCCTGTAAAAGAGCAATTTATTGACTTAATATAGTGTTACAAAGATATTAATCATAAAACTATCCATCTATAAATTTCTTTGTCTCAGAAAGTAAAATTTCTCAATTTTGCTCAACATAACGTTTGAAAGTTGATTACAAACAATTATAACTAGGATTCTAACAAAAACTCTAAAACAAAATGCGTTCGTGAAACACTTACGCACCCGTATGACAACTTCGGCCAAGGTTAAAAATTCTCCAATGCAAGTCAAAACGCCAAGGTGAAAAAATTTTGGTACCCAGAGAAAGGTCTTGTCACAAGGAATACTCATTTGAAATATGAAAGCCCTAGCACCAAAACTGAAACTTAAAAGTAGGTCAAACTCCTAGGTGAAGGTCAAAAGGTACAAATGATGGTATCAAAGGAAAGATCTTGTAACAAGAAATACATATGTAAAATATGAAAGCCCCAACACTAACCATTCAAATGTTAAGGTCATGATTAAAGTTTTTCATATGTAGGACAAAGTCTAAGATCAAATTCAAGAGGTCAAAACTGTTGGCATCCAGGAACATGTCTTGTCACAAGGGATACGCTTGTCAAGTATGAAAGCCCTAGCACGTCAGTTTAAAAGATAAGGCCATGGTTTAAGTTTGGTAAAATTTTGCAATAGTGGGTCAAACTCGAAGGTCAAATTTGTTGGTACCCAAAGAAAGGTCTTGTCACAGGCAATAATCTTCAATTGTTGGGGGTATAAAAACTTACTAAATCAATACTATCCCGAACATTCAAGCCTCCGACGTGAACCACGACCTTTAAACTGTAATTGTAATTAAATTTCCTCAATTTTTTATGTAATGTTACATGTACATATGCTGTATTATTTCTAAAAGTTTAATGAAGCGTTGCAACAAAATTTGGTCGTGACCAAAAATCCATACAGGAGAAATCATGACACGAAGATCATTTGTGTCCTTCAGGATAAATGAAATGATTAAAAAGAGAACTTTTGATACTGTTATCAAGTAGAGTTGACCTGCTTTTAACCATTTTGTAAAAGGACATAAAATTCACTTGCAAGGCAAGGGATAAATGGTAAAATAACCATAGCGATGATCTTCATTATCTGAGAGAAATCGACAGAAAAGAGGTCCATTTAAACTACCTGAGGGTGCTTCCATACCAATATAACAAATGTCTTTGCTGTTCTTGAGTAGACAATTTTAAGGACTTTTTCATATATATATATATATATATATATATATATATATATATATATATATATATATATATATATGTTCCTTCTAAAACTTTGATCCCCCATTGTGACCCCTCCTTACCTTCGGGGTCATCATTTGAACAAAATTGAATCTACACTACCTGAGGGTGCTTCCATATCAATATGACTAAACATGGCTTTACTGTTCTTGAGAAGATTTTTTTCCTATATATCCTTTGTAAAACTTTGACCCCCCATTGTGGCCCTACCCTACCCCTGGGGGTCATGATTTGAACAAATTTGAATCGACATTACCTGAGGATGCTTCCATATCAATATGACTAAATATGGCTTTGCTGTTCTTGTGAAGAATTATACAGTTTTTTCCCTATATATTCCTCTGTAAAACTTTGATCCCCTATTGTGGCCCCAGTCTAGCCCCAGGGGTCATCATTTGAACAAACCTGAATTGACACTTTGTAAAGGTTTCCTATAAGTTTCACCTTTTTTGGCCCAGTGGTTCTTGAGAAGATTTTTAAAACATGCCACCAAAGAGCTAAATCCACGAAGTGGCTAAATCGGCCTATTTTTTCAGGAAAATTAAACTGAGGGGAAGAAGAAAATTAACAATAGAAATATTATCCTTAAGTATCAAACTTAAAAAGTGTATGCAGATTTTTTTATTTGATGACGTCATATTTGTACAGAAAACGTCTAAACACGTGCACTTTCATACTTTTTATCAAAATAAAGCATTTTTTCCGTCTTTAGTTCAATTTTTTGCTGTGGCCACACCCTTCGAACAAAATTAAATTTATACCATTAAAAAGAGAATTAAAATATGAATAAGTAGAGCATATTTTAATTTTGTTCGAGGGGTGTGGCTAAGTCGAAATTTTTACTTTTAGTTCGATTCCAATCTCTAAGCACCGACTACCACAGAGGAAATTACGGGGCATACCTCACATAAATTAAAAAGAAAAAGATTTTGTATTGTTTTTGTAAATACGAAAAAGTTTAGAAATGCAAATGTTCTGTCTATAATATGTTATTTTGTGTGTTGTGGTGCAAAAAAGTACGAAAAACTCTTGTTAAACGAGACCGCAATATGCAGATGCAATAACGTCGACTTTTTGTATTTGTGTGTACTACGTGCCTCAGTCCTGACCCAAGACTTTTTCTTCACGTAGCTGATCTCTATTTAACTCATCAATATGCTGAAATATTTAAAATAATAATTCCTAGCCTATTTATTTGTATTTTGTTTATTTGCAACTACCGACTCCTCGTCACCATGGTCACTATGTAATCAAAGGGAGATCACCCGAAAAACGTGTACATCAGTGGCGGAGTCGAAATAGCTACGATACAAGTTGCTTACATCAGATGCAACTTCCAGGACGTACATATAATGATTGTTTCACCACCTTACAAAACATAAATCATGTATGTCGAGAAGTTAGCATCGACAATATTCGCTATCCAAGGGACTCACGGATCAGAGACCCTTGGCTAGCGAAGCTAAGAGTAAGAAGAGCATCGACAGGCATCACAAACGTCATAAACATGGTTAACGTTGGATTATCTTCCATACTAACATGCGTTTCAGAAATTGCCGTTGGCATTTTAAGACAAACGATTGATTAATGTTTATAAGTGAAAATATTTTCAGATCCGAGACCCCATAACATATGTTACGAAATATAGAACCTAGAAAATTCGAGTTGACATCAAATAAACAAAATAGATTGATTTTAAATCTAGACTACGATTTTACAGATCGTGTGTACTCGTAATTTTTGTGATAGGCCTTTATAAAACAAATACATTGTACAAACAAGTAACTTACTATCAAGGTAGTGACAACTCTTTAAGTAATTTCAGCATCGCCTGCATTCTGTGACCTAGCCAGCATATGAAAAAAAAATCAAAGGGAGGCTACTTGCTACCCCTTTTTATTTTGAGTTACTCCTCTTAAATGTAGCAGGTCTAAGGGAGAGAGGGCAACCAAGCATGGTAATGTAAATTCATAAAGGGAGGGGGGGGGGGCTATTACAAAAATAAGACAGCGGTAAGGGGGAGGGGAATTCGGGATTTCCACCCTTACTCATTTTCAATTTTGGATGAACTTTAATAGGTGGAACAGAGCGACCAGTATTTGGCAATTACTAGTGTCATTTAAACAAGAAAGTGGCCGGTATTAAGTGAATTAATTATACAATGCCATTATATTAGTCCTTGTATGTATAGTGTGGAAAAATCCATGCAATCGCAGTTTTGAATTTTTTTTTTTCAACCTGTATGATAAAAATGTATACATGTATGTCCCGAATGTATTATTGTTATTTTTTTCTCTCCAATTTTCAGACAATGCGTAATACCTGTGAACAATGCAATTATGTGCTACTCATTATAGACAATTAATGCTTTGGACGGTAGTTTTACTTCTTTGAATTAAATAGATAGTCTACGGATTGTAATGATAGTCATTCACTACTGCCAGTAGCTGTTTCCGTGTTTTGTTTTGTTTTTTTTGTTTTTGTTTATTTTTTTTTTTTTTGTTTATTTTTTTTTTTTTTTTTTTTTGTTTTTTTGTTTTTTGTTTACAAAAAATTCCCGAGCAGAAAAAGTCCGAGTTAAAAATCTCATACGCCATATGTATACGATATTATTATTACTTCATCGTCTTCTATACTCATTATCGCCTATCTATTTGTGGTTGTGTTAGAAAGTGCACATGGAGACACGAAACGTTATTAGCAGCTCGACAGAATAATTTCTTAATATATATGAAAATTATGAGTAAAATGTTAAAACTGGCTTTGAACTATATAAAAGTCTGAGTTGTTGAGATTATGTTTCAATTCACCAGATAATTATTACTTTATGATTTTATTAAAAGGGTTTACAATAGGTACTCCTCAACAGGGGAGTGTGTGAGATATGAAAGTGAATCATTTTCATTTCTGTGGATGTGAATTATAGTGCCAAAATTCATAAATAAAAATCAGTCCTTTTAAAAAAAAATGTTTTATATCTGTTGTAGCTGTAATTGACGCTAGGGTATTTTTTCTACACTTCACATTTATTATGTCTGTTATAGCGATGTGCAGCATAGTCTGCAGAAATCATCGGTATGATCCAAGTTATTATCACGTGTAAAGGTTATCCTCTTTGTCATTTGGAGATCTCGTATATAAGATTAACTTTTCACTTTGATGATATAACATATTGATCATTAATTAGTGAATTTTATTTTGATTAAAGTGGTATACATGCCATTTCGTTTTTTTTTAAACTTCATGTTCCGTTTTGAAATTCAAATACTTCGAAAATTTTGTGTTTTCTTTGGACTCTTACTTGTAAAAAAATTAAAATGCATTTTTTTTTTTTTTTTTTTTTTTTTTTTGGCTGTCGATTTGATGCATCAACCTTAACTTGTTCAAAGTCTGTAGTGGCTTCTTTCCTAAACATACTGCCTTGTGGAAAGCCCTAAAACGTCATTATTTTTCGTGTATTTCATGTACATGTATTTTAATACAAATTCATATCAAATGTCCGGGAAATGCTTTAAATTACGAAAGTGTAGCGAAATCTTCAGAATGACAATATAAAAGATGGTCACTTCAAACATATTCATTTTTAATGCAACTTTTTTTTTTTATTTTATGTATTCATTATTAAAGAGCACTAAGTCTTGTGCATTCTTTTATAAAACCTCTTTTTTTGTTTGTACGCCATAGGACCATACTACAACACATTAAAGAACGATAAAATCCTTATCCATGGCTACAAGTGTATATTTTACTACAAAATCCAGTTCAACTTAAATATGATAGATTAAGACTTGCTGTAATTTTCAGCTTAATATGTCCCCTATTTTCATTTAAGGGGAAGAAGGACCTTTAGCTGAAAAAATACTTGTCATTCAATTTTTTTTGCATTTTGTATATTTCTTATTAAGTATGCCCCACATATCTTAAAGCAGTTATATCATTAGGTTTCTTACCTTATTTTAGAGATATTGATTGACAAATATTATGCCCCACAGTATCTTAGTGGAGTTTTAATTATTCCATGTTTCCGGGCTCATTACTCTGTCCATAATTGGATTTTTAAAGCATATATAAAAAATATGTAGGTGAACATGTATCTTTTAAAATATTTCAGAGTATGAATTGGGTTTAAAATTCGAAAAGGCAGGTTTCATCTATCACACTGCATCTGGATAGGGAAAATTACAAACTTTTTAAGAGAACTTAAACAACAAAAAACGTAATTTACAAAAAATCCTATCATTCAATATTTTTAAATTTACGTTGAAATGCAAGTCCTTCAAATTATTGATTAACTGTAAAAATTTCGAATGGTGAAGCTGACCTCAATATTGTACAGGACATCGTTAAAGACGACATAAGCAGGACAAAACTTGTCATGTTTACATTTCTCGAGTACGGGAAAAACCAACTATGACGTCACACGTAAGCTAAATAAGCGAAATAAGGTATACCTACATAAGATTTCCGTCATCAGCCATGCAAAAGTGTTCCCCGTTTCTCAAAAGACTTCATCATATACTGATTATGACCTGTTTTTATATAATAATACCGCCCTTGTATTCATCGAGTATGATCTCAGTTTAAAGAAACAGAGGAGTGGATCAATCTTTTTTCATAATTTGTTAATGTTTACAAGAATGTTAAACTTTTTATTTTTTTAATATAAGATGGTAATTAAAGAAAAAAAATTGTCAAAAATTTATACAAGAACTGATGCTTTACACGTTTTGCACTAATGGAGACTATGACGTAGTTTAACAAAGTCATGTGATCATGTGTCCTTCATCCCCTTAAATCGTGTTACATATACATGTAACCACGATTTTACGAGACAAATGTGGTAAATAAATATTTCGTTAAAATACAAATAGCTTCAATTTAAATATAAACACAAAAGTTTTCAAAACTTCTTGAAAAATTCATAATTAAATTTTCCTAAAATTTTAAAGAAGAGCATATTTTGGTGAATTTTATTCCATGAACGTACATGTGTTACTTTGTTATACAAATTAAATGTCAACGTCACAACGTTAATGTATGTAACGTCAACGTAATGACATGATAGTTTTGATAAGGAAAACAATACTAAGTTTAAACGTCTGTAAAAAGAAAACCAGAAAAGATATTGTTAAAAAATAAATTGTTTTACAACATACAAATCTTAGAGTATTATGTGAGAAAGTTTCATTTATTTTGATGCTTGGGCCGATTTTGGCACTTCGTGGATTTAGCTCTTTTCACTATTTCTATATTATCTCCTCCTGAATGAGAGCTTGGCCCTTCTTTTGTACAAACTTGAATCCCCTTTACCCAAGGATGGTTTGTGGCAAGTTTGGTTGAAATTGGTCCAGTGGTTCTGGAGGAGTACGCGAAAATGTGAAAAGTTTACAAACGGACGGACAGATAGACGGAATGTGATCAGAAAAGCTCACCTGAGCTTTCAGCTCAGGTGAGCTAAAAATTTATCCATTGATATTTTATTCAATCAAATTTTTCTAAATCCATGCTTTAGATACCTAAATTAACCCCCCCCCCCCCCCAAAAAAAAAAAACAAAAACACATGGAACCTTCCCATTGCAGTGGTGATCCATTTTTCAACAACTTTCTTTCTCTCTTCCATAGTCAAAGATTTTCCTTCACCAGTTGTACCATTTACTAGTAAATACCATGTATATAAATGTAAGCCAAGTGAATATATAGAGGATATTCAATGTTTTGTAGGTGAATATGGAATTTATTTCACGAGTGGGACAGGATTTTTTGATATTTTCACGAGTGCGAAGCACGAGTGAAAATATCAAAAAATCCTGTCTCACGAGTGAAATAAATTCCATATTCATCTACAAAACATTGAATTTTCTATTTATTACATTTTCTTTGATTTTCCCTTTGCCTCCGTCTTTTCTTAACACAGTGTCATAGGCTTGACGTCATAGTTGAGCGGTTGAGACGTCACAGCTTAGCAGTTCTGAGATTGAAAACATTACATAGCATGGCTTTTAGCAACATATTTGGGAAGAAATTTGCAGTTTTAGCTCTATCAAGATCGTTAGTTACTATCTCTATCTTATGACAGTCCAGAAATTATTTTTTTACTTACTTTGATATCCTTTCACACTGTGAGAGAATATCATTTTGGTATCCTTTCACACTGTGAGAGAATATCACTTTTATTCAATAAATAAATCACAGTATTTCACTGTTGAAAATGTAATAAATTTTCCTTACGTTTACGGTGCATCAATCAAACCAACATGGATTTTTTTAGTTTGTACAAATATACTTCAATATGGAAATTGTAAAGGCTAGATTTTTTATATAATTTTATCATCATATAACTTACTATTGATATGCATTTACAATATGGCCAAATTGTCTTACTTCATATATTATAATACATGCTCCAAGACAAACAGTTTTAGTTGCAACATAAATCATACCGGGCTGTATGTCCGATAAAGACTTACCAAATATAGCTTTGATGTCGTTTTTCACCAAAAACTCACAATATTCGTCAATTTTGGACAAATCTAGTTCGCTATTAAAGTTAATAAGATATTTCAGATATATTTTTTCACATCTCATTTTAAACATCTTCAAATACAAGTCAAATACAAGTTACGTTAACGCAAGATTGTATATTGGTAAATATTCGTTACGTTGTCACAGATTTCCTTTAGTTAAGATTCTGACAATTGCTCTAATATATCACAGTAAAGAATGGATGAAAACAAACGCAACATACCCATCCTCTTGAAAGGGAGTAAAGACGGCTGGAACAAGTCCCTCTAGCCAAAAGTGTTCCAATGGTTTCTCAAAAATAGGAAAAGTAAAACAATCGTTTATTAATTCATATTAAAGTGTGCCATGTTAGAATTTATAGCACTTTACTATCCCCTCGCAATGGAGTCGCGAAGGAGATATAGTAACGCGCTTTGTGTATGTGTGTGTTAGTTTGTCCTCTGTGCGGAACGGAAGAGACGTAATTTGCACCAGGATCGAGTATTGCCTTGATTGATTAAAATATTATATATAATTATGTATATATTTTATTTATTCGTCTATCGTCTGATCTTCTCATATTCCAATCACATAAATAAAATTGAACGAGAGGATAATTGCTTTTTCTGTCTGTAATCAGAGACAGAATTTTTAAAATCAACAGTAATGTTTTTGTTCACTGCAGCCACGCAAAAGTGTAGTTCAACAATGACAGCTGCAAAAAATGGCACTTGCATTCAGTTATAATCCAGAAATTATTTATAATGATCACTGCTCAAATAAATTTACACTGATTAATAAATCAAACTGTAGCAGCGGTCCACATACCTCATGACACGGAACATATCAAAACTCAACATTCAAAACCTAGTGTCAACTTTTTATCTACTTAAAATTTTAAAAGTATTCTCCATGGAAAATCAAAAAAGTAAATTTGTGTTTCCCTTGGAAAAAAAAATTATCCCTGCAAAAGTTGAAGATGTAGTAATGATCGTTGTGTGTGTGTGTATGGGGGGGGGGGGGGGGTGAATGAATGCGTAACAGTAGTTTAGCAAGTAATAAATCATATCAGGATCGATATGCTCTTTTGCGAGGGGATGCTCTGCTTTGCGGTGCCCTTGTTTTCTATACTTTGAAGGAATGTTTCGGTAAGCAGAAACCCTTGTAAAATACTTAAAATTTTAGAGTAGCTAGTTGAACATTAATAATCTTCCCAAAATTTTAATATATTATTAAGGCGAAGGAAAATATTCATTGGTATTGGTCACATCTGTTTGAAAAAAAAGAACGCTATTGTCCTACCTGTGCCATTCTACGCTGTATATTTTGAATGTCTTATCAAACTTGTATGCTAAAGAGAATAGATAAGGTATATCTTTCTTGAACACGGACAATATAATGCGATTTATATATGTAGTTTATCCTTGAAATTCTTAATTTTATTCATTATGTCAGAATATATTATATTCTTAAAGATATCTGTTACAGTAACTAAGGCCTTCAATTCCACAATTTGATACATGTATATCGATGACAGTTAATCAACAACGATTATTTTTATTCATACATTCATTCGATATATCCCAATGAACTCGAAGTAAAAGACACTTCAGAGCGACACAACTGCTTCTTATCTGGATATCCTACAATGAAGCGCATTTTCCGTTTGAATGGAACATTTTCAGCTTTCTTTGGGACGTTGATTGTCATATAATGACACGCCCACTTCTTTAAAAAGGATGAAAGCGATCAAATGGTTTATTCGAATACCTGTTCAACAGGTATTCCATAAATACAATAGCCAATCAAATTGGCAGTCTACATAAACACCGAGTAAACACGTGTTCGACAGATACATGTGTTGTGGTAACTCCAATAAACGTGATCAATTCATAATTATGTACATATTCGTTGCAATTCGTGTTTTGCAGAAGCGGAGAGTCTCCAACTCTCTCTTCTTACTTCATAAAATCCCAGTTCAGTGTAACTCATGCTGCTAGTCGCAGAGAGTGGGGTGTCTTCAAGCATCACGACGAATATTTCTTTCTCATTTCTAAAGAAATGGGCGTGTCATTTTGTTTGATATTTAAAATATTTTTTATAGACAGGTAACATTTTATATGAATCTGCCAAATTAAAATACTTTTCCTTAACTATATAAAACATGTTTATTTTTAAAAAACTAAGTATGTTTCAATATTATCAGATTCAGATATTTATCTTAATTCAGAATTTTCTAAAGCTGTTATAAATTTGCTGTGCCCCAAAAACAACACGAGTGTTACCATCACGTTGATTTCGATCACGACAAAAATCGCTCCAATAGTGCGCCAAATTTAACTCGAGCTAGCGAAAAATCGGTACAACCAACATGACCAATAAAAAAAAATTCTGTACATTACATGTATTTCATTGCAATCATTATCTCTTTCTAATGAAGATTTATTCTGACATTTGCAGTTTTAACGAAGTTATGAATCTTTGTTTACACTGTATTTGTTTTTCATGCCAGACGCGTAGAAATGCGTATATGCCATGTAAGGGGTTAACTCAACCTTAAGATGACGTCGTTTTAAGAGATGGATTTAATTTTTAAGAATTCATGAGGACATGAACTACGACGCTTCACGCCGGCATACATGTATTTCATGATAAATATGCAGGCGTGAAGCGTTGTAGTTCATGTACCTCATGAATTCTCAAAAATTAAATTCATATCTCATATTTACATTAATTTTCTGATGACTTGCAACATATTTTTGTCATTCAACGATCATTTTGGGGAAAAAATTTGCACTATTTTTTTACTTCAATCACATCACAATAGAAATATTCTTACTCATTCCACGGTAGTTCATGAGAACATGAACTTTTTCTAATTTTCAATGTCTTAAGGAGGTTGGATCCTGCCATCAAAAGTAATGAGAATTTTTTATCAAGTATATTTTTAGAATTTATACACACAGCTTTATTAAAAATCAAAACAAAAAATGGGGGTCAATGCGCTTCTTTTGGCACTACAGATCATTTAGTTTGACCTTTTTGCACTGTAAATACGTCTTACACATAAATCAAATTTTAAAGTTTTTCCTCCAATATTTTTTGTTCAAATAAATTATGGGAACAAAAACAGTCTTATTTCATCTGAAATAGACACATTAAAATTTGTGACAATGAAGAAATTTTCAAATTACTCCGCATGTTCAATTATTTGACCTTTTTGCACTAAAACATTTTCATTTATCTGGCATTAAAAATTTAACAAGCAAAAAAATCATTTGAAAGTAATGACATTTTACTGAATTTAAGAAGAATGGTTAAATGCATCGTATATATTCAGAAAAGAAAATTAAAAGTGAGGGTCTGTGATGTTAATTTTTAGATATAACTAAAATAGTGCTAATTTTAAGCTTAAATTAGGGCTATTTTTTTTCTTCATTTTCACAAAATATTTGCTATATTTATCAAATATGATGATAGAATTCATGACAGTATATTTAATAGATAATTTAGGACCAGTATAAAACAGTCCACTGCACAAAATAACTATGTGTGCAGACTGCGTGTAAAAATAGGAATCCAAACTTAACATACTTTGAATACTTCGAAAGAGAAAAAATGATCATTTTCTTCTAAGAAAACCTTCCGCCACAAAATATAGTTCCTCACTTAATACTTTTGGTATGCAATTTAATCATGGAGTTTTAACTGAATATAGTTAAACTGGCATTGTAGAATCCAAATTTATTGTAAGAATTAAAACATTATGCAGAATTTTTGAAATATAGGTTAAGATAAAAATCTGCTCAAAAGCTCAGGAGCGAACCTCGTTAAGGAAAAATATTTGGAAATGTAAATATTTATCAATTAACAAAAAATTATTGTTACTTTCATTCATATGTTGACTCAATACATCCCACTACCAGTGAACTCGAAATAAAGGACACCACTGAGTCGGCCACATCACATCTGTTTCATATTTGGATGTTTTACTGACTGTTGGCTATCGATAAAGGCACCGACAACTTAGCGTACGCTATGGAGCCCGGCTAAAAATCGAAATCCCGGAAATTTCAGAGGTGGGATCAGTAAAACGAGTCAAATATAGTGCAAATACAAAGGCTGAACAATTGGTATGAAATATCTCAGTCAAAATAGGACCATAAAATTTATGATCTCATTTGTCACACAATTATGGCCCAGCTGGGATCACCGATCTGCGCGGATTAATCACCGGATGGTAACCCAACAACCGCCAATATAAACATTACGCTTTTCAAGTTAGATCTGTTCTCTTTCTTGAATGATTCATGATGATGACGCTGGGTTGAACTTTTCAAATGTCAGAAACATAGTTTTCTCAGGTTAGACAAGCTTTTAAGGAAAGCTAATACCTGAGTGAGAGCGAACGTAATCTCTGCTGCCATGTGTACACACAGGCCACGCGCGACACACAATCAAAATATTTTTACCTGACAAGACAAGCTCTATTTATAGAATGATGAATACCTTCATGGAAAACGCCATGCGTGCATAGTAAATGCGCATTTGTATCCGACCTTCTTACTAGCTGCATGTTGCGATATTTATCATCGTAAATTAGAATTAAAAAAAAAACAAGAAAACATTGATGTAACCATCAATTGTCGCCCGGGAAATAAATAAAGTAAACAATGGAAATGAGTCTTGATCATCGAACCGTTCGATATGTGTGAAAAAGGCATGCGTCTAAATGATGGAGACGATAGTCGAGGATATTTTGAAAACTTATAGTCGGATGAAAATCGAACAAAAACGATACCCTTTTAAACTTTATCAATTCCTCAAGTAAATGTTGGCTGCATAAAATATAATTTGAAACCAGACACATGCATCACCTATTTTCAAAAATGTCTTTCACTTTAAGAATATAAAACATGAACTGTGTAAAGTACATTTTTACGTTTTTATGCTATAAGTAAAGTTCGATGTTCTAAAAAAAAAAGGGACCTGTCGTTTTTTCGATAGTAAATGATAAGCAACTTTATATATTAAATATGAAAAACATATATATTTTTACAGATTCACTTTATGGAAGTAAATATAATGTGTATCTCGTAATTTATAAAGGGAAAGAACATTCTGATTAACAATCTTTTTAATGTTTAGAAAACCTTTAATTCTGAATAACTTCTCCCACCTCAATCCCCATATACCAACACTTAAACTTATATGTATAGAGCAGCCCGGTCCTCCGGGCTGCAATAAACGGAAAAATAATCACAGATGACAATGGTATTGCGAATTGCAAATTTAAAATATCGACCAAAATAATCTGGAGAATGTTGTTCCAGATAAACCAAATTTGTTTAACGTAATGCGATATCCTGACACTGAGGTTATTCATTGCTATACAGAGATGATTATGCTTTCCTGTGTATTAAAACTTTTTAAATGCATTTAATAATCTATCGCAAAACAAGCATTCTGAGGGTATTGTATTAGAAATACTCGTCCCCTACCGGCAAGTGTAATCTGGTTCCCGTTAAATATTGAAAATGTCATAATTCCGTTAAAAACCAACGAAGCGGAACGAGATGCAAACTTGATCTATAACTCATCAAGGTAAAGTCACATATTAAAAATCAGCTCAATATCTGCAAGCGTTTAGAGAAAAAAATGCGGGAAACCAAGTGGAACAGACTGGCAGACAGCTAGACAGAGGAACGGACAGACTCAGAGGAAACCAATTTCACCGGTAGGGGACTATATGTTTCCACTGAGTCTGTCTGTCTGTCCCTCTGTCAGTCTGTCCCACTTGGCTTTCCGCACTTTTTTTCTAAACGCTTACAGATATTGAGCTGATTTTTGGTATGTGAGTGCATCTTGATAAGCTACAAATCAAGTTTGCATTTCGTTACGCTTCAATGATTTTTGACAGAATTACGACCTTTTCAATTTTTCAGGGATTTCCGCACTTTTTTTCTAAACGCTTACAGATATTGAGCTGATTTTTGGTATGTGACTTTATCTTGATGAGTTATAGATCAAGTTTGCATTTCCTTCCACTCCATTGATTTTTGACGGAATTGTGGCATTTTCAATTTTTGATGGGAACCAGATTACACTTGCCGGTAGGGGACTAGTATTACAAATGCAATACTCTCAGAATGCTTGTTTCATGTATGTTTCATGTAAAACGGTACTGATCACTGCTCTATAAATAAGTCTGGCTCTCTGTACTTCTGAGTACTTTGATTAAGCTCTGTGTACAGATTTTTTGCAGGTATTTTTGAGATCGACCGCTGTTCGTTAGCTTCACCTATTTAAAAGCCTTACTTTATTTTTCATTATACCTTCCTGGTATCGTATTAGTTTCAAATCACAGTAACGAGAAAAATAATGTAATTAAAATATTGCTCATAAATTTGGATTTTAACTTCATACCGCCCAGCCCATTTCTCTCTTTTATATCGGTATTTCATTACATTTGCATAATATAAATAAATAATGTATTTACCAGCCATGCACGTAGTGTAGTGGCAAGAGTGTTTGCTGTCAAGTCGCGGAGTCCGAGTGAGGAGTTTTATCTTACGTCGCGGGCTTGAATCCACTGCGTGACGCAGAGACCAGTTCTTTGGATGAGTCTTATAAACCGAGGCCTCTTACCGCAGTAGGTGCAGATCCCTCGCTCCTCAAGGGCCGCAAGAGCCAAGCACAGGTCTAAATTTGCAGCCGTTTGCAGGTAAGCGATGGCGTCTCAATATGTGTGATAAAGTCTCGAAGAAAACCGTCCATTTCAGAACTGAGCAAGTTGAAAAAAAATCAGCGATGCAAAGCGGCCTGTTTACATGTAACCACTACCCGATGTTATTCCGTGGATTTTTAACGTACATTTAAATTCGTGCATTTCGAAGGGATATCTTTATTTCAATTTTATTCTTTTAACATATGCCTTTTTGAATCAAATGACATATTTGAATCATCTTTGCTATGCAAGGGTTTCTGATCCGGTACTCTCCTCATAAACCCTTAGCCTATGGTGCTGT